ACCGCAAAAAAAAAAAAAAAAAAAAAAATGGAGAGTTAACAATACTCAGTTTTATGTCAAATGACACAAAAAACTTTTGAAAGTGATGCTGTTAAATATCAGTAACAACCTCACAACACACACTTCTTTCCGGTTTATTTGTGCCATAACTAACACAGTTTTATAAACACTTGTTATTGTGAGTGATTTCATGTTAGCATGAAGGATTCACACTGAATATAACATTGAAAGTAAACAGCTATGCACCCACAACCCAGGCTCCTGTCTTTGCCTCCCCAGTCATATCTTCTTCCCCCTCCAGAATTAATCACTATTCTGAATCTTTTTTCTATTATTTATTCCTCAAGGAAGAGCTTTTATAAAATGTAAATTAATTGTGCGTTTTTCCGGTTTACTGTTCATATAAGCACCATGTCATCCTTTTCCTTCACACGGACCCTTCCCCTGCTGTGCTTCTTTATCTCTTGCCCCTTGATTTTTCCATCATTTTCTCTCCTGGATCCCTTGCCATCTACTCCTACATGGATTTATATATTCCCTGATCTTAAAAATGAAAACAAACACAAAAAACGTCCTTCCATCGACACAGTAATGGCATTAAATGATAGTCTATCTCCTTCCTTCCACTATTAACTTTCTTGTAAAGATACTTTTCACTTCTGCCTCCAAATCTCAATCACCACTGCTTAATCTTTTATAATCTGTTTACCCCCAGCAAGCAGGACACTTCTAGCTACCCTCACCCCTAAGCAGGATGGGTCAGTCTTCTTTGATGCTCCGGTATCTTGTTACTCTTTTCTCCACTATAACTGTGCGTTGAGGATTCTCAGTTGGTGTTTGGTTTCTCCCTCCCAACCCCACACAGACTGAATTACTGGAGCTGAGATAGTTCTTTAGCTGAATCACAATCACCTGGAGGGCTTGTTTAAACACTGGGTTCCACCCCCAGTTTCTATAGATAGTTGTTGAAGGCAACTATTCTATCCATCATCTCCCTCAGCATCATGCCCAATGGAGAAAATGATTTTTCAGGGTTTAGTCCTGCGAAAACCTTTGCATCTGTAAGATGTGTAAGATTCTACACGCCCCCCCTCACTACTGCAGCCTCTGTCTCCTTTGATAGTTCTTTTTCTCCCACCTGCATTCTTTCCTAAGTCCTCTTCTCTTCCATTACAAAGCTACCTGGGCTGTCCAAGGTATGGCCCACTGACCAGCAATATCAGAATAATCTGGGAGCTTATTAGAAATGCAGAGCTCCAGGCACCAGCACGAAACCACTGAACCAGAATCTGCGTTTTAACAAAATCCCCCAATGATGTGTGTGTGCTTGAAACGTTAAGAAGCACTTCTCTAGGATGAAAATGGTCCTAAAATATATCTCCCCAGTCCTGCATGGAGTGGAGACAGCCCCAGGTTCACGTCGAATCTGGGAAGTAGGGGCTCAAACGCAGACTCCCGCCTGTATCCTATAGGCCTGTTCCCCTCTAAGCCCTGACAGCGCGTTGCTTGCCCGGGCCTGGTCGGTCAGCCGTCTTCCGCAGGCCCCAGGACGGGTCGCTGGAGGCAGGGGTCCCCAAACCCACTCTGGCTCCGTAGGCCTCGACCTCGGCCCACCTGTCTTCCCAACTTTAGCGTTATGCCGCCGCCGTCTAGCGGCAGCTCTACCCAGAGGCAGCAGCGTCTCAGGTTTAGCCCCGGGAAAAAGAAGTTTCAACCTACCTTTCCAAGAGCCAAGTTTACATCTGCACAGGGCTGGCGTCCTAGCAACTCCAAGTGTCCAAAGCCAAACTCATGCTCTTCTCTCAGTCTCCCCTTTCCTGCTGGATAGACCAGACACTTCCGACTTTCCTGCCTTTGTTAACCATTCCACGGGCTTCCAGGGGTCCCCCAGGCTTCCGGGGGGCGCACAGGCTTCCGGGGGTAGCAAAGCCGAGCGTGCGCGGGCGCCCGGCAAGTATGCAAATGAGGGGAGTGGGCGGGGCGAACTGGTGAGCCGCTGTGTCCAATGGGTGAGCGGCTGAAGATGCCAGCTGGAAATGTGGTCCCAATGTTTGGCCAAACTGCATTTATGTGAGAGCTCCTGATTTTATTGTGGCAAGACACTTTAAAAAGATTTTTTTTTTTTTTTAACTAGGAGCGCCAAATAAAACATATTGCAGGCTGTACTTGGCCTGTGCTCAAAACCAAGTTCTCTTTGGTTTCTCCTCCTTCCTGAACCTTCATCTCTCCAATCACTGTCAAGACCTACGTCTCTCACCTTCTCTCCAGGTCCTAGCTTACTTTTCTTTCTTCTCCTCTGCCAACTGGATCTATGCACCAAAGAAAGTGCAGTAACATCTGGTATCCCTTCCTCCATCACTTTGTAGTAAAACCCACCAAACAACTGCCAAATTATTCTAAAATATTGTTCCAATCATATATACCACCTTTCTATTCAAAGCCCTTGAGAAATTCCCCCTGGCCTCCAGCTGTCAAAACTCTGTATCAAATGGCAACCCTCCCCAACACCCTCCAACCCCCCATCCCTCCCCTAATTAGACGTGGTTTTGAGTAGAGCTCTTAAGGCTTGGATAAGCCTAGTGGTGGTTGTGGAGATAGAAAGAAATGGACAGATTTGAGAAGTATTTAAAAACTAAAGTCAGCAGCACGAGCTCCTAAGACCCTCACTGCAGAGCAAATTATCTATTATTTACTTCCTATCAATGCCTGGATAAGACGTAGCATATTGTGCACATGAGTTTGCAAGCCAGCAGCCTGATGGTCAATTTTGTTCTACAAATATCTTTCGTTTAGCCTGCATTGCTTTAAAAAAAAAAAAAAAGTTTCTAAAACTAGTAATTGTATATAAAAATCAGGATTACTGTCCAAAAAAAGTGGTGACAAATCCAGATCAAAACTTCTACACGGGGCTTCCCTGGCGGCGCAGTGGTTGAGAGTCCGCCTGCCAATGCAGGGGACACAGGTTCGTGCCCCGGTCTGGGAGGATCCCACATGCCGCGGAGGGGCTAGGCCTATGAGCCATGGCCGCTGAGCCTGCGGGTCTGGAGCCTGTGCTCCCCAACAGTGAGAGGCCCGCGTACTGCAAAAAAAAAACAAAAACAAAAAACAAACAAAAAAAAAAACTTCTATGCAGCTGGATTTTATCTGATACAGTACATTCAGTTCATAGCCTTCACCTTAGCCCAATGAATTTACGAATAAAAATAAGAAAAGGCTAACGGGCACTTTAGGAATGAATTTAAAATGGGAATCAAATATTTCTGACGTCCTCCGTAAGTTTACTTCACAGGTACACTTTAAAAAATAAGGTATAAAGTTAGCAATAATGTATCCCCCTCCCTCCCCCCATTAGATGTTTGGTTTTTTTGTATTAGGCTTATTCACTAATGTGGTTACAAAATTTTCAGTCCTGGCCAGTTTATACAACTCAGTTTCTGGCACATAAGTCAGATGAGCCTTCATTGCTAACATTTCTGAAAGGTTCAATTTTAGCCAGCCTCTGGCTGGATCTTCCAACTGGCCCTTCAGATCCATCCATTCACCTCCCCCAGGCCCCACAAAAGACCGACTTCTATGGACTACCTCTGGATTCCCAATGGGTTTGGCCAATGGTGGACACCAGCTGGCTTTTGGAAGGAGAATGAGGTCAGGGTGTCCAGTCCCCTGGCTCTGTCACTGCAGGGATGTCCCTGGCTGGCTGCGCCCCTCTTCAAATGAAGGCAGCCCTTCCCTGGGCTCCAGAGTGAAGGGGGTGGCTGCTCCCTCCCCACCAGCCTCTGTGGGTACGAGACACTCCTAGTGGCTACCCTCCACCTTTGGAATCCTGGCTCAAATTTTCTCCAACTTTTCTAATTTGAGGGTGTTATCTATTTCCTGCTACAATACACTTCCCCAGTCTCACACTTCTAACCAAATGCACAGAAGAAAACATATCCTTCTAAGCGTCATTTTCTAGAATTTGAATATCACTCTTTGGGAAAATTTGCAGCAATTTAAAAGTTTGCCTTGGGCTTCCCTGGTGGCGCACTGGTTGAGAGTCCGCCTGCCGATGCAGGGGACACGGATTCGTGCCCCAGACCAGGAAGATCCCACATGCCGGGGAGCGGCTGGGCCGGTGAGCCATGGCCGCTGAGCCTGCGCGTCCGGAGCCTGTGCTCTGCAACAGGAGAGGCCACAACAGTGAGAGGCCCGCGTACCACAAAAAAAAAAAAAAAAGTTTCCCTTTAAGTCGTGAAGAATTTTAGAATTATATATTCTACCTTTAAGCCTGAATTGTTTCTAAACGTTTAACCAAAAAGATACATATGCAATGCTTAGCCTTGAAAGTGAAAACAATGACATTTCCTCTAAAACTATGGACATTTAATCCTGGAAGTATCCTCACTTGGGTATGATTCCTCCATTGGTATTTTGGCATGTCAGTGCCACCTGCTGGAAAGTTAATACAATTAGGTCTTCTAAATCCCAAAACGGCTCTTTTGCAGGGGCAGTAGGGAGTAAATGTACTCTTTAAGGAAAAAAGCCTTATTTTTAAACACACAGCTGCTTAACTTCCACATGATTATCAATACAAACCCCAGTTAATTACAAAGCACTAAAATAAAATCTAAAACTTATAATTTAAAAAAACCCAAACATCTCTTTCTATTGGTATATCTCTGTTGTTCTGCTGTGTATGAAGTTCAACATGCCTCACTTGTCTCAGCATCATCTGGACTCTTAAACCAAGATCTATATGTGAAATACATATGCTTAGATGTAATATATACTACACATATTTAAAGAAAATATATACATATGTTTTAGTATATGACAAAGTTTTAGTTGTGAAGTGAGTAAAAGTAGACAGATGTAGGACCGGATCTTTCTGTAGTGCTTTTACCATCTCTAAGTGGCAACTGAAATAGACATAGTAGATAAACAACATGACACATGTTAACTGTTAAATTTTCTTATAATAAAAATTGCACAAATATTCTAAATAATGTAGAAACGTAAACGATTGCTTAACTGATTTTAATAACATGACATAAAGCCCCTACACTTCATATAACTGTTATGCAAAATACATAGATGAATACTGTCTTCTTTTAAAAATATAAAATAAATAAGCAAGACATGTGAAAATAGGCGTTTCCATTAAATAAATGAAAATTTTAAAAAAAGTTTTGCTTTCCATATCATTTGAAGAAGGGAAATTATCATTTTAAACAATATTCAAGTTTATTAAACAAATTAAAAAAAGTATTATAAAATGTTTAACTTTCATCAGCTTCAAGGTTTATGTTACTCCCAAATTTTGCATATAACTGAACTTTCAAATCTGCTAACACCCGCTGAATTGATTCCACTCTGGATTCTAAGGCATCAATTTCTTCTTGCAAATTTTTCTGGAAAAAAAAAATTAGTTTAAATTAATTCTCTTCAGTTAGATGATTTCTGAGCATCTGTGGATGAAATAATATTTGGGAAGAATTTTAGGTCAAAAACTTTCTAAACTTGGACAGGCAGCTAAATAACACTGATAATTAAATCTAAACCAAAAGTCTGAATGTGGGGCATTTTTCATTCATGATCTACATTTGCTTACTATAGAATAAATCAAGCTTTTCTCAGTTTTGGCTGACTTAAAAAACAGAATAAAATAAAAGAAAATTAATTCCTAAATTATCATATCCTAATAAAGAAAGAATGACATTCAAACATTTAGGGTAAACAGTTTACCACAGGCCTGGCTCCTGACACAGCCTTTTCCAACTTCCCACAAAAATAACTATGGAACTAGAGGAAATGATAAAAATTCACACACTCACCAAGGATTAAAAGTAACAACTTATCGTCAAAACCTGGCAGAGGGCTTCCCTGGTGGCGCAGTGGTTGAGAGTCTGCCTGCCGATGCAGGGGACACAGGTTCGTGCCCCGGTCCGGGAAGATCCCACATGCCGCGGAGCGGCTGGGCCCGTGAGCCATGGCCGCAGAGCCTGCATGTCCGGAGCCTGTGCTCCGCAACAGGAGAGGTCACAACGGTGAGAGGCCCGCGTACCGCAAAAAACCCAAAAAACCTGGCAGAAATTTCCCTAACTACGAGGCCCCTGGAGTTAGACTTTGAAAGAGCAGTAATGAGAGCCTCAATTATGAAAGAGCAGCTCTGCCACACAAAATGCATGGAATGTCAGAAATTCCTTCCTGGCCAGGATCAAAAGGATTTTTCCTAAACATGACAAAGAAAAAAATGGAATCACACAAATAATATATGTACCCATTAATATCAGGAACAAAAGAAGAATGCCTAGTATTGACAACGTTATTATTTTAGAAATCTGGCCAGTGGTTCTCAAAGGGTGGCCCCCAGATCACCTGGAAGCTTGTGAGAAATATGAATTCCAGGGCTCCACTCAGGCCTCCTGAATTAGAAATTATTGGGGTTGGGCTCAGTAATCCGAATTTTTAACAAGCCCAAATGTTGTCAATGAATCCATACTCTCACCCGGGAATTACACTTCTCTGATTATTTCCTTAAAAGAACTTCCTACACGTGAACAAAGGTTTAGGTTTAAGAATGCTCACCACAATATTCCTATAGGAAAACAAGTTAATGTAACAACAGGAGGACAGTGGGCTGAATCAATGTCCACCAACATGACATTGAACAGTCATCAAAATTGATGTTTTTAAATCACGTGTAGCTGGCCTAGAACAGGCTCCCAGTGAAGATCTGCTGGATAAATGAACATTAAATGGAACAAGATAATACCCAACTAGGACATTAAGTGACCAAAACGTGAAGCAAAAATACACAGAGAAAGAGGAGGAGAGAACATAAAAGAAATACATGAAAATGTTTATTATGGATGATTATCTCTGGGTAGTGGGATTACGGGTGACTTTTCTACTTTATAATATTCTGTACTTTCTAAATACTATTAACTTAGAACACAGGTTCTGGAGGCAAAGAGGATTCCCTCTGTCATTCTGAGGAAGTCCCATAACCTCTCTAAGCCTCCATTCTTCAACTCTCAATTGGGATTCCCAGTATTATCCCATAGAGTCATTGTTAGGATTAAACAAAATCATGCTTACAAAACATTCAGAGCAGGCCTGGGACATTGTAAGAATGCATGAAATATTAGCTATCATCCCTTATTTTCCCTACCCCT